CCAACCTGGCATCACTTTAAACTTAATTTTCACCTTGAAGTTTTTCAGACCATTTGGGTGGTGTGAATTCAGGCTATAATGCTCTAGGAGTTGGCTTATGGTTATGAATTCTGAAGAGATAATTTTCCTCCTTCAACCAGTGTCAGAGTTTAACCACTGCAGTTTTCCTTGATGTTCCCTTAGGAAATGGGAAACAAGGCAGGTTTATTTTACTGTCACACTGAGTAAGTGTACACTGTCAGTGTCTCGTTTACTTTCACAATGAGTATTCTGCATCCTAGTGAAATGTTGTAAAAGAGTCTCAAAATTAGACTCCTCAATTTGAGAGGACCTTCCAATTAATCTTTTGTCCCTTGTCCTCCACAAGAACCTGAAAAATGAAGTTCAAATTCAAAATATTTGGCAAATGCCACCAAAATGAACAACATCTTCAGTGTTCAAGTTCATGCTTTAACATAGTTTTGGCATCTGATCTTGCCATCTCACTGATGCATTTAAACACAAGTTTCCTATTTTTAAAAAATCCTGGATATTCAGAGTTTTTTGTTTGTTTTGCAGTGGGAGTGTCAGTCAGGGTATCTAGTGTATGATGCTGCCAGATATGAAAGTCTTTTTTTTTACATGTCTTCTCTGATATTATTTCTGCTGGCTGTAAGACTCTCTTTTCACATGGTGCCAGTTATCAATGCATTATTTCAGTTCCCAATTCACTCTTCATTGCCTGCTGTGTAAAAATGCAGCTGGCCTTTTAAATAGTTTTTATTTGCCAGCTGAGATAATGCTAAGCTTTGTCAGTAGAGGGCGGTGGGAAGACATTACAAGAGGAAGGGATTTTTCTTTTTGTTCCTGGTGTGCTCCTGCAGCAGGCTTCTGCAGCTTCTGCAGCTTCTCCAGCACCAGGCTCCTAGAGTGCACATAGCTTCCAGGCACCACCTCCTGCAGTGTGGGCGGCTTCTCCAGCACCAGGCACCTGCAGCTCAGGAAGCTTCTCCAGTGCAGGGCAGTCAGTAGCAAGGAGCTTCCTCTAGCACTAGCTTGGGCTGTGTCCTAGCAGAATGCATTCAGTGAGACACCCTCCCGTAAATAGCTTTTCCCTGCACCCCAGAGGATGTATAATATTTCCAGGACTTCCATCGTAGCAACTTCTCTGCCATGCAGTGAGTCCTGGGGGTCTGGATATCAGACCCGGGGCAGAGGGGAGCAATAGCTCTTCCTTGGGTGTTTTCAGTGCTTGGGTTGGGTAGTGGCTGATTCTTCCTATCTGCTATTTCTGTATTCTTTAGAGTTCTTTTTATTTCTTACTAGCCAATCCCTTGTTAATCAGAGCTGCTGTTGTAGTTAATAATTCTTTATATTAAGTTTTCCCTGTTCAATTTATTGTATGTATTTTTGTCTCCTGATTTGACCTTGACTGATGACTATACCTTCATCTGGTAATCTCCTTCCTTCTCATCAAGATTCATCTCAACTGTTATCACCATTATGGTTTAGGTTTATTAGAATGAATCACAGCAAAATGCCATTTTTGTAGGTCAAAAATAGTTGAACATTGGCAATTTCAAGTGGTTCAAAATAATATTTTCTCTGTAGTTCCCACTGCATACCAGCACTTATCCCACTAATTGAAAATATCAATTTTTGAAATAATGTCACCTACTATAAGACTGCAAATTCTTGGTAATAATTTTTAATCTTTTATTCTTAATGCCTAAATGCCTAATCCAATTCACAGTAATTACTATATGCTGAAAAAATAAAATATGCTGTTGAAATAACTGAATGCTGGCAAATCACTTAGTCTCTCTAATCTTCAATTTCTTCCTCTTCTAACTGGGATCATTAACACCTGCTCTATCTAATTCTAAAGTTCTTAAAATGGACTAAATGAATATTTGTTCCCACTTCCTTAGTACAGTTGAAGGCAGATCATGCTACTAAATGTGTTATTTCATGTGGGAAAAATAATTGAAGAATCATTCTTTTAAATGACAAGATTTGATTTTTCCAATATTATAATTAGTTATAGAATTATTTAAGTAAAATAAAAGTACAGAAAAATAAAAATTATTCAAAATCCTACTAATCAGAGATAAAACTATTAATATTTTTATGTAATTATTTCTAGTATTTTTCCTGTTAACATTATAGAAAGTAAAATTGAAAAAATATGTACAGTTTTTAATTCTGTTTTTTTCTACTCAATGCAATGTTGTGAACATTTTCCTATATAATTAAGTGCTCTTTGAAAAACATGCTTTTTTGGCTGAATAATATTCCATTATATGAATAAACTATCAATAACATATCAAATTATTTGAACATTTATGGTGTTTTACATTTTTTGCGATTATAATACTATTAAGATAAACATTCTTACAAATACTTATGCACATCTCTTATTGTTTCTTAAAAGAAGTTTGTGGGAGGATATATTAGATCAAAGCATATAAATATTTTTCATAAAATAGTTTTTATGAAACTATTGCCAAATTTCCTTCCAGAAACCATGCATTAATTTATATTCCAACATTCAATGCCTACTCAGCAACAAAATGGTTTAGGGAAAAAAAAAATGCCCATTTAGTTGTTGAAAATACTATTTATTTTTATTCATATTTCTTTTATTTTTAGTAACTATTGTGCATGTTTTTATATTTATTGTTCTCTGTATCCTTTTGATGTTAAGTATTTATTTATAATATATGAACCATGTTTTTTAAAAATTAGAATCAACATATTTTTACTTTTAATTTTTAAAAGTTCTTCATTATAGCATGGGTATTTACCAATTTTTCATATATTTGAAAATTGTTTTTCTTATTTTCATTTTAGTTTTATGGTAGGTTTGTGAAGTTTCATATTTTTTGTATAGTCAAATATCTTGATTATTTAATTAATTTTTACTCTAGTGTTTCTTGTATTGATTTCATGTTAAGAGGATTCCTCCTTATCCTGACATCGGAGGCACCTCTATGCCATCATTTTCTATCCAGTCATAGCTGTTTTATTCTTTCAGTTTTGGTGTATCACATGAGATATAGTATGACTTATTTTTTCTAAAAATATAATTATGTACCAGTTATTTCCATAATCTGAAAGTTAACCTTAATATATTTGTGAAATCTTTGAAAACACCAGCACTTTTGGAGGGATGAGGATTTGGAGGGACTGAGTCATGTGCTTAAAAAAGAACTAATAATAAATATGATTTTGCTTTATTTGCTTTATGAGTGCCTGATAAAGTATATAGTGTCTATAATGGTCTAGCCTTTATAGGCCTTTTATTTGTAATTTTCATTAAAGAGATCATTCTTCTCACAAGTGAGTGGATTCTGCCTGCTAAAGTGAATTTTCCTAGCTTATAGATGGAAGGCATATTAGTAGTCTATTGTCCTTTAAAGCTCAAATACTGTCTTTGCTGAAGATGTAGGTGTGTGGTGGTGGGGGGTATTTTATGTTTGTGAAATATCTGGCAAAACTCCAGTGGAGCTGCACGAAATAGTAATTTTACAAATTGTCCCTTCCTGCCCCATTCTTCTGGCTTCCAATATATTGACCTTTTCTTGCTTGTCACAAAAGATGGCTCTCTTGCTCTTTTGTCCTTAATGCTGGCATCTCATACATCCAGAGTCAGTGGGTTGGGTTGTATGAGGGTTAAGGAGGTTCCTGGAGTGTTCTGCTCAGGTGTGACACATACCTTCATTGAATGTATTAGAATTCCCCAGGGGATTTTTTATCTCCCCCACTTCCCTGAGGGTTTGATATACACTTTCCACCAGCAACCCAAGATAATTACCCTCAAGACTCATTAAAAATATACACTAGATCAAAGTTCTTATTACAACAAACTGCCACTCTGACTAAATTACTCAGAAAAGGAACTTAGTTTTTAATTTTAAAAATTACCATCATGACATGGATACCACTGCAACTGCCACTACCCTATTACCAGGATGGATACTGAGTGTCTCTACTTTTCCTCATCCTGACTTTAACTCAGCGCCCAGAGTGGGTTAATCTGGTTGGTGGAATTTATGACATAGCTGCAAGGGAGGCTTGGAAAGTGAGTTACTGGTATTTTTAGTATCTAAGATGAGAGTCACTCACCTTATGAGCAAGGAGTTCATAACTTGGTACACATCAAGAATGTCAAATGTCCATTCCGTAGACCTGCGTCCCCAACCCCGGGCTGCGGAGTGGTCTGCAGCCAGCCAGAAACTGGGCCGCGCAGCAGGAGGACAGGGGATGAGCCAGCGAGGGAAGCCCCACCTGCGCCCACAGCCACTCCCCGTCGCTCACATCACTGCCCGAGCCCCGAGCCCCGTCAGATCAGCAGGGGCACCAGACCCTCACCAGAGTGCAGACCCCACCGCAAACTGCACATGCGAGGGATCCAGGTTGCCCCCTCCCCAACGCTTGAAGATCTGAGGTGGCAACGTGCCCCACCTGGTGGAAAACTGTCTTCCACAAAACTGGTCCCTGGCATCAAAAAGGTTAGGGACTACTGCCTTAAACTGATGCAGATAAACAGTACTTTTATAAGAATCTGGGTGTTAAGTGACCAGGTTTCTCAAAGGGATTGACAGTATCTCCATATACCATGTTGAGTTTCTTATTTAACAATTATTTATAAAGAGAAATATACTTTGTCCAAGGCAATACTCTAGGTACTAATGTGGATGATACAATGTATAAGAAACTCTTGCTATCCTCAGGAGACTACAATCTAGTTGTAGAAGCAAGAATTACATCAACAGGACTTTAAAAGATTGACATGGCTGGGCGCGGTGGCTCATTCCTATAATCCATAGCACTCTGAGAGGTGGAGGTGGACGGATCGCTTGAGGTCAGGAGTTCGAGACCAGCCTGGGCAAGAGACCCCCATCTCTACAAAAAATAGATGTGGTGGCACATACCTGCATTCCCAGCTACTCCGGAGGCTGAGGCAGGAGGACCCCTTGAGCCCAGAAGTTTGAGGTTGCAGTTTGCTTTGATGATGCCACTGCACTTTAGCTGAGGCAACAGCAAGACTCTGTCTCAAAACAAAACAAAACAAAACAAAACAAAACAACAACAAAAACCTATAATACGAGGGCAATGCAAATCAGTACATCACCATTTTCTTAGTTTGGATTTCCCTCAGAGTGGAACCTAAGACAAGGACTTGGGTCAGGCAGTCTATTTTGGATGTAGTTCCAAAAGGAAGGAGTGAGGGAAGAAAGGGGATACATGAAAAAAAGAGAAAAAGCCAATATATGAGTGTCTGTCAGAGGTGATTACTATAGGCAATGAGGCTCACTGCCACAAAAGCATACAGAATAGAAGTGCCCATCTGAACGACAGAAAATGAAAGTATTTATCCACTGGCTCCCACGTGCCAGTGATGAAGGGTTTTCCCCAGGGACAATAACTCTCTCGCACTTCCAGGCTGGGCTTGTCCACAGGTCAAGCGAATTCCCGATAATGGAGAAAGCCCCCTGAGCAAGCGCAGTTGAAGAGGGTAAGGTGTAATGCCCACCGAGAGGTGAGTCTGAGCTTACATGGGCCCTCCTACCACAGCTGCATTTGAAATCAGAGGTGGGTCAAGGGGGTGTGACGAGGGCACCAGAGGTGCCTGTTACAACTGTCAACCCACAGATGCACTTCATAGGGATGACACATTCAAGTAAGCACAAAATCACTGCAGGCTGAAGTGTTGGGGGTGGCGCGGGGGTGGGGGGGGTGACTTCCTTAAGGAGGCTGGACTCCAGCTGAGCGCAGAAAGAACTAACAGAATTTCTCATGCCAGAAATTTTGCAACACATCAGAATCTGGAGCTTTCCAAAGTCTGGCTATGCTGAAGGCAGCAGTTATATATTTCAGTGCATTGTACCTCTGTGATTCAGTCTATATTCTATTTCTCTTCTTGAAATAACATTACATTGAAGTTATGACATTTAGGCATCTTTCAGGCTTGCCCAGGCTTTGACATCAAAAAATATTCCCTCAATCCAAGTGGTTTCAGAGTACTAGAAATTCTGATAAAGTTAATAGCAGTTATTTTTAAAGTCCTTATGCACAATAAATATAGCCCATGATAATTTAACTTAATGTTGATTCTGATAAAACAAGCTACTACTGCTGAGTAAAACAGGTGATATATATTTCCCTCTGAATTTTCATAACCTTGCTTATAAGGTACCTATCAAATAAAAATTTAAAAATGTCTTTATATTTATATATTTAAAATATTCTTTATATTGATTTATGTTTATATATTTATACATTTATTCTTTATATTTAGGAGCCAACAATTATATCAAAATATGTATATTAAAGAAAACGTTCATAACTTAAGGTAAAATGTAGGTCTATCAAGAGATTTTTTTTTCATTCACCTCATCTTACTTATTTCTGACAATATGATCTATTCATTATACTGGAAGAGATAAAACTCCATTTCTCATAAAATGTATATGATATATACTTTACCTACACCAGTCTTTACCTACACCAGTGTACTCCCCTAAGATTTCAAAGCGAGGTGTCTTCAGACTTACAACTAACTGATTCACAAATGCCCCCAGCATAAGGCTACTTACTGCATTTGGTCATCTCCTTTCTTTCTTCACATTCACTCACTCACTCTGAAATGGGCTTCTTTATTCCTCACTCCTCTTTTTCCTCCTTTGAACAACATCTCTATGAACAACCGCTAACATGGGCTAAGTTGATGACACTACAGAAAGGCAAAGAAACAGCATGCATAAAACATCCCATGCCCACACACCGTGTTCATTCCCCTTTCTTTCTCAGGTCAGTAATGGCCCCATGGAATCGCTCTGGGCTCTTCTTGCCCCCACACCCCACACTATTCCATTAAGTCAGGCTACAGTTTTTTTCCACCAGAGATAACTGCTTACGCACAGAGGTCCTCTTAGATGCCCTTTGGATTTCCTTGGTTTCCCCAGCTTTCGAGAATCTGCTCAGTAAAATCTCTACCTCATTGCTCAATGACATGAGATAGCGCTCTTGAAAGAAATTTGTAAACTATCAAGCAATGTATGAATGTAGTTTATTGTCATCATTTATGATCTCCCCAATCACCCAAGTCAGGCCTGATGAATAGTGTTCATGACCTATGTTTCCAGAAAAAGAGAAAAATCCAGACTTTCATAAATATAGCTTACTTTCTCACTCTAAAAGCACATCTACTAATTAAGGAGTGTGATAGTCTATAAAAAATGGAAAACAAAATAGTTACCCTAAATCTGACCAACCAAACCTAGCCCTGTTTTTCTTCCTGTCTTTTTATTTATATGTATTTTCTTACAGGTATGGTCATATTCCACCTACAATTTTGTAGCCCACCCTTTTCAATTAATATTATAGTCTAAGAACTTTTTATGCCATTATATGCCCCATAACATCCTATAAGATAAAATATTTCATTGAAATTTTACATAACAAAAATGCCAGCACTATTAACATCTTAAGCCTTTGAAGGTATTTAGAAGTCCCCTTTAAAACATCCATAAATTTCTCCAGCTATCTTCTCTAATTAAACTTGCTTATACTCAAAATCACTATTAAAAATAAATACATGCACATTAAATCGGTTAATTGTATAGCATAGAAATTATGTCTCAATAAAGCTGTTACTTAAAAAAATTACAATAAAAAATACAGGTGCATTTCGCCCTAAATGTGATTACATTTTTAATTATTTGATGGCGTGGCAGAATGATCTACAGAAATATTAATTTGCATTTGACTTGTGCATTTTTCCCTGCCCTCAATCCCATATGTTAGCCTCAAGATTCTTTATTTCCTTTCTTCAGAAGTATTTGCATGGCCAAGTAGAAGCTACATGAAACATATTTTCTCTCCATCTTGGATAAAAATCTAAACTCATCTAAGAGTTTATGTAAGGTATCCCAGAGAGGGACAGCAAAAAAGAAAGACCCTTTGAAGGTTGCAAGAGGGAAAAAAAGGAGGGCTGTTCTCTAGCCTAGGGAAAGGTCAGGCGTAGAAGGAGAACAGAACTCTAAGGCAGGTAGCCCTAGGTTGGAGCACACGCAGGGCTGGGTGTTGGGCACAGACTTGCCTTGCCCCAGCAGTGCCAATGAATCATCAGAACCCCTGAAAGCAAAAGGTCCTCATGGGCTGGCACATGTTCCAGCGAAAACTAGGGTTGGCTCCAGGGTAAGCAGAATGGATTCCCCTTTGTGATTTCAAGAGAATCTGGCAATTTTGCACAAACCCTTTCAGGTTTGAGGAGTCTCAGTAATCACAGGCTGAATCTATTGTCAGGCTGAAGTCACAACACCCTAGGCTTGGTTTAAACTGGTTTACAGGACAGAAAGATACGCAATTGTTTTCACTAAGAATATTCATATTCACTATATTAGTACTGCAACCTGATAGACTGTAATTATCTTCTAAATAGCATGTCATATATGATGTTACAAATCAGTTTTTAAAAGGAAGGCTCCCCCCCCGCACCCCATAGACATACACAATGGAGTAGTACTCCAATATTTTAAACCTGGAAGGGATCTTGTAGGTCTAGTCCAATGTCTTCATTTTAAAGATAAAAAACTTGAAACTTCAGAAGGTGAGGTGAATTCCCCAGAGTCTAAGAGTTGAACCTGGGATAGAATCAGTTATCTTCACTCGTAGGCAGTGTTCCTCTACTTCCTCAGATTGGGATTTGTAGCTGCCATATTAAAGCACTAACAGATTGATGAGTTATCAAGTCCTGCTGGGCAGCCTTGTAGGTATCCACTTTATAGATACTGACGTTGTGTTGGATAATCACCACGTTCACTTGTGATAAAGCTTGGCTTTACTGCAATTTACTTGAGAATGGTGGCTTTCAAGTTTGTATAGTTCACCAGAATATCGTAGCCAACCAAATCGCACATCTACCATGGCACTTCTCCTAAGAAAAGCAGCGAGCAACTGCCATCACTGTTATATACTATATAAAAATGTGAACCACACACCATTCTTTCACCTGTGTCTTCTAGTGTTCCTACAGTGATTTCGTAAAGACACATTTTGACCTATATTTTTATTCCTTCTATAACATGACAATGATGTAATTCAGAAGCGAAGAACCAGCAGAAATGACAACATAAGATGCAAAGGGTCAGAAACGTGGTGAAACAAAAGCAATGACACATTGTGCAAGAGCTGGTTTTACATAAGGATATGTAATAATATGAAAAATTAAGATGAAGTTGATACTTTTGCTTATATACTGGTTGGAAAAATCAGGATAAAGTGGCATAAGTGTGCATGGTTTGCTGTGACACACACAGAACTGTTCTGCTCTTCTTTGTCATCTTTTGCATGCTGGTTAAACATTTGTTACGCATTTTATCACCATTTAAGCACTTTTCCTATTCACTAACTTAGAAGCAATTGAAGCAATTTTAAATTCCCACTCTGGGAAAATAAAGCTGCCAATAGAAGAAAACACATTTACTTTGATTTATTCCTATCAATACATTTTAATTCAAAAATATATTTTTCTGATTACACCTTTGCTCAATAATTGCAATTACACAGTATGGGTTTTGTTGAAGGAATAAAATATAATTTTTATCTGGTAATCTCACTAAATTTTATATCTAATGTTTGGGGTTTATTTGTAAGAGTAGATTTTCTCATTATAAAAATATAAATATGTTAACAGTTCTCTCCGGTAAACATCATTTTATGAAATCACTGGGCCACCAATGTTGAAGTTAAAGGTCAGAAATAGAGATGTGAGAGGCAGGTGTGTGACCAGCTATTTTTTCTATTTTTAGTAGAAAGACAGAGTCTCGCTCTTGCTGAGGCTGGTCTTGAACTCCTTAGCTCAAGGGATCCTCCTGCCTCAGCCTCCTAGAGTGCTAGGATTAAATGCATGAGCCGCTGTGCCCAGCCTAGTGTTGATATTTTCTACTAAACTATCTTCTAGTTTACTTCCTTTCCCTTCCCTCCTGACAAGACCTCATAGGGCCAAAGACCTTTGGGAATATTCCCCAGCTCAATATAGGGTCCTGAGTTATTGTGAGACCAATAACTTATATCCAGATTTGATCATTTCAAGGAAGTAATTCATGCTTATTAAATTCTCAAGGGACTGATCTATAAACCTAGATGTATATTTACTCTTTTACAATGGTAGAAATAACTTGGGCTATGAAGTTAGTACAATTGGATTCTGATGCAGACTCACCATTATTTACTGTGAGGGCCAGCTACTGAATTTCTCTGAGACTAGGTATTTGCATCTGTAAAATGCCACTGTTGCCGGACCACAGTGGCACTGACTTGTAGTCTCAGCTACTCAGGAGGCTGAGGTAGGAGGATTACTTGAGGCCAGGAGTTAGAGGCCAGCCTGGGCAACATAGCAAGACCCTCATCTCTAACAACAACAAAAAATGCAATTTGCATGAAGATTAAAAGATATATATAAAGTACCTAGCACAAAGCCTGGTATTTAGTGAATGGTGGCTATAAGGATGATTATGATGATGGTGATGACAACAACGGAGGAAAAGAAGGAAGAAAAGAGGAAAAGGTTGCTAGAATCACAGGAATTATAAGATTTATCAGCATATTTTCTTCCTGAGATCAAAGACAGAATTAGCATGAACTAGAAGGTACTTGGTTAGTAGAGAATCACAGCAAAATGAATTACATAGAATACTATAAAATCTTAGACCTTCAAGTCATGAAGATGCGACCCATCTCTACCCTAGGGATATACCTTACTTGCCCAGCGGAGAAGGTAGTTGTTGCTATTCTGGCACCTAGAACAGTGCCTGGCAAATGGCAGGCCCTTAGTAAACAGTTAAAGAATGAATAGGTGAGTATTGCAACTCATAAACAGTGCTGGAAATAGCAATAATTCCTTTATCTTTGGTTCATCTATCTCTAGACTCAACAGATGCATTACTCCCTCCATTACTCAGTAATGTCTTCAGTAACGTAATCAAGTGGTGCATATGTCTCTGTTACATCAATCACATTTAGACATTGTCTAATTAAACTTAAATCACTTTATCATTCACTGCAACCATATTTCCAAATTCTGTGAGATCTGTCTTATAGCCTAACATAGACTTATGGCAGAAACAAGGTAGATGCTTCTGAAACTCATGTCTTCTTTTTCCCAGGCACACAGCTAGATTACATTTCTCAGGATCAACTCAGTTGTGGCCACATGACTGAGTTCTAGCCAATAAAGCGTGTGCACAAGTGCTGTACACTTCTTCTAAGAGTGGCCCATAATATCATCCTATTTGCAACTCAGATCTCTAACTTCAGTCCAGATGAATGTAGAGAATTTGGTGGCTGTAGATGATGGTGGAGACGATAGAAGATAAAGGACTGAATCTCTGAATAATCACAGGGACCAGAATTTGCCTCCCTCCTCCCCATCACATGCACACACATAGGCCCCCACTGGACTGTGATGTGAATGAGAAATACTCCTTTATTATATGAAGTCACTGATATTAGAGGTTATTTTATAGCAGTTAGCCTATCCTGACTAATTTAGTACCATACTCATTCTATTCTACTGACTCTTTTCATATATATATATATATGGTTCAAGAACTCGGAATTGTGCATTTTTGTCCTATGTTCCATATTTTACATGGTCACACCAACAGAGCGTCTTTCCTTGTAGTCACCCATGTCACACCACATCAATCAATAAGTAATCCATGCTGCACCTAAATATCCATATGTTTCCATCTCCACTACCTATACCTTGTTTACTAGACACTTGATTTTCCCACCTGGATTACTGAAATAGCTTCCTATATTTTCTCCTTGCCCTCACTCTTTTCATTCCTTCAATTCATTGGCTAGACCTTACCAGAGTAGTCTTTCTGACATGAAAATCCAATTTTGTTCCTTCTTTGCACAAAATCCCAAGACTCCTCATCACCCCCTGGTTAAATGCCTAAAGAAATTACCCTTCTTTTAGAGCTTCTTTGCTTGCCTGTCCCTCATCACACACCCTAAGCTATTATAGCTTAATGGGTCCTAAGTGAGTCTACAACACCTAGGATACCAGGCATCACTAAACAGAGTTCTAGAATCCACAAGTGGTCCATGTATTATGTGTTAACTGAACAGATGATATAGCTTGACTGTGTATACATTACTACTACCAAATGAGTTAATACATGTAATGCATGAGCATATGTGAGCTATCATTATCAGTAGCATTTTCCCAATATATTTGCTATTGTGATTAATAAAATAAAATTTTATCTGAATGTAATTATATTTGGAATATATTTCTCAATTATAGGATGCTAAAATATAACTACTGTCATGTGCATAAAGGGCTCAACGTTTTGATGTTAAAAAGGGATCCACACTCTTGAATATTTGGGGATTACTGCTTGACATCACAAACTATTTGCAATTCCTGGGATGGACAGTGACACTGATTGTGCACATGTGGAGGATTCTGTGGCTTGGCTTGCTCAACCTCCACTCCTCCTGACTTCTAGGGTGCCTTCCTGTGCCGAAAAGGCTAAAAAGCTATCTTTCCCACCTTCTTTGGCAGCAAGAGTTCTGGATGTACAAAATAGATATACTACTCTAAGATTTAGAAACTGAAAATGACGCTGAGGCCATCTTCCTGCTTTTTGAGCTGTTTTTCTACTGGCAAGCAACTTTGTAGAGACACTTTTCTATAGCAGAATTCCTGTGTTCATTTTATGGCTTCCTGAGGGTTAAGAGGCAGTCACAGTGGCAGCATTAGGGATGACTCCCTGATTCCTTATCAGTGGGTGGCAATATGTTCTTGGACTGAATAATTCCAATGGTGTTCTCAGTGGGACAGTTCTGTAGTCTTCTGGGAATCATTCCTGGTGGGCTAGCCTGTGCTCTGTTCTTCTGGCTCTTTCATGATTTTGTCCTAATTACCTGTGGATTTTTACCTAAATCCTTTCTTCTTAAGAGGACTACATTGGTTTCTGTTTCCTGCATTGAATCTTCACTGATAGAGCCCTTGGAAAATATTTCTGTAACATGGAACACATATCCCCTCATCTCCTACCTCCTGTCCTCTTCTTGTCCTCAGCTCAACTGTCTTCTTTTACAGGATGACTTTACCAACCCCCTTGGCTGAGTCAAGTGCCTTTCCTTTCTGTTCTATCCATAACCCTATGATAGCACTTCTCACTACAGTAATAGTCAATTATTTGTCTATACAAGTTAATTAATAAAGCTATATGTTGTTAGTCACTTATTCTCAAGTATGCGCACCATGAACTTATGAAGTAAAGGAATCAATGAACAAATGTAAATAATAATTAAAAATGAGTAACCATTCCATAAAGGAGGAAATGTAGTAACATAAGAGAAGATACGTAGTTTTCTTACAAAATGAAATGGTATATGGTTCTACAACATATACCATGTGCGAGTATATATAAAAGAAGGCAAAACTGAAATGCTATGAGTGTAGGTATATTCTCCTTAGTCCCCTAAAAAAGAGATCCATATGGTCTAGACCATATGGCAGTTTTTTTTCTGTAAAGGGACAGATAGTAAATATTATAGGCCTTGTGAGTCATACAATCTCTGTCACAACTACTCAACTTTGTCATTTTCTCAAGAAAGCAGCCATATATATAAACAGATAATATATAATGGATATAGTTGTGTTCCAATAAACCTTTATGAACACTGAAATTTGAATTTCATATAATTTTCATATGTCACAAAATATTAATCTTCTGGGTACAGAGCGCATTGTGTGGGGGATGGGCACACTTGTAGCTCTGGCTTGGGCAATGCAAAGGCATTATATGTAACCAAAATGTTTATACCTCCATATTCTTAAATGAATAAAGAAAATAAATAAATAAATTTAAAAAATGTAAAGACCATATACAAACACGTGGAAGGTGGGGAGAAGAGGAGAAGAGAAAGCAGATTTGGCCTGCAGGCAGTAGATTGACAGTGCTGGTTTAGAAGATCAAGGAAAAGTCTGAATTTACAGTGTAGAGTGACTTTGATTTTTCTGAGTGGACCTTGTGTACAGTTTAATTTCTTTCCATATAAAATGAAGACTATAATATATTACTTATGTTAAAACATATTATTGATATAATTAACTTTGATATAAAAACAATAATGTTGAAAAGGCTTTGAGATCTTGAAGAGAGACCTGGGCCACTTATAAGTCTCTTTAATTTCATAAATACTGGAATATTTTAGGTGTTTCATAGCTAACATTTCATAACAAGGCCTTGAAGTTCTACATATATGGTAAAACTGCTCATGAGCAAGGTTTAGTAAGAAAACATTCTCTCCTTCATTTATAACACGAAAGGGAAAGAGGCACAAACAATACGTGGATTACCACTCCACTCTTGTTCCCATCCACAAATGGACAGATCAACTTAACTGCAATTTTCAATAAAGCAGATGTCAAGAGATTGTGGTCTTACATATTAAACCTGTTTTAGTTTCTAGAAGAAAACTTTTCTTGGAGATTTTCAAAGACCCATGGAATTAGAAAGGTGGAAGGGATACTTCCCCCTACCCCCAGTTCGAAGGTGAGAAACCTTGGGCACAGAACTGTCAAATGACAGTTGGCAGCAGGGTTAGGGCAGACCCTGGCCTCTGAATTCCATTGCAGAGCTCTTTCAACTTTTCAAGGCTTTAAAAAAAATTCTGCTACTGTGTTTTTAATAAAAATTGCCAAAGATTAAATCAAACCATGGATTTATAGTTAAATTGTGTATGTCTCCTTGAGTTGCAAAGGATTTAACTTTATGCTATATAAAACATAAGAGTTTTATGTTATATAAACTGTGTGTTGTATAAAACATAGAGATATAGCAGTAAGAAGCTCTAATTTTTCATCTTTTACTGATAACATTATCCATTACCCAAGGGTGATGGATTGAATCCTGGAGCCAGGATTCAAAAATCCACATCGATCAGACTCCAAAGGTCCTGAGAGGTGAAACTGAGGGGGCGAGGGATGAAGATTCTGTGACTTCAGAGAACAGAGGAGAGTGAGATCAGAAAGAGAAACAAATAGAAAATGGTTCTTGCCACCTCGTGGGCAAGCACTACCTAGCTTCCTTCTGCTGCTTTTCTGATGCATTGGAGAAATTAAGGAAGGATTTCCCACTTCTTTTAGGCATTCCAATCTCTCACTTTTGCCTAAAATCACCCAAGTATACTGTGCTCTGCACAACTTCACAAGAAAAGGCCGTTTCCATCCACACTGTGTTTATACAACTGCGTGCCGCCTCTCCTGGTCATCTCATTTGAAACTGGAACAACTCTACGCCCCCTGCCAGTCCCCATACATACCCTGCTCTGCTTTTCCCAGTAATACTAGCCCCACTTAGCACACTATGTAATTAACTTATCTACTGTGTTTATTGTCTGTTGTATTTCTCCCCTCCACTGTATCGTAAGCTCCATGATGGCAAGGATTTTTGTCTGTTTTGTTCTCTGACTCAAGTACATAGAGCAGTGCTTTGCACACAGTAGGCTCTCAGGAAATATTTGTTGAATTAATAAATAAATTTGAGAAAATGAAGAATAGGGAATTAGGGATATCTTGACATATTACATGGTTACATTTGAAAAAGACTTGGAAAAGACACACAAAAAGCCTGGAACAGCATAAGATGACAAAGGAGAACACTTGAGTGCTACTGCCTGCCAGGGACAATCCTAAGGGCTTTACATTCATCACCTTATTTTTCTCACCACAGCTATTATTATCCTCATTTTACAGTTGATGAAACTAAGGCTAGATAACTTGTCCAGGTTCATACACTAAGTCAGGGGTGGAGCCAGGATTCAAAAGCCCACATGGATCTGACTCCAAAGCCCATGTGTGTAACCGCTGCTCCGCAACAGACTATCTAAAGCCATCTTTGTGACCCTGAGAATACTGGGTGGAGCCATCTCAGCACACAGGCCCCATTTTATTAAGGTTGCTAAATGGACGGGGATTTAGGGACACTTGTAGATTCTTGCCGAAGGGATTTTGCTTTCTTTAGTTGCAATCTCCAAATTTTCTACATAAAGAATGTTACTTTCATTAAAGCTAGAAGGATCTCCTACAAACATTTTTAATCAAAAGGCAATTAGCATTGTTTCACCCACCAATCAATCTCTCAAACCATGGAACTTCAAATATCAAAATTTGTCATGATGCCTGGGCAGTAGAAAATAGCTTAGCAAGCTAAATACTTTCAGATCCAACATCTTGGGGGCAGCAAGCACCTGATCTGCCTCTGTGGCTCAACTGTCTCTTTGCCTGTAACTACCTATGGGTCAGGCAATATAAAGGCAGAGATTTCTTCCCTGATCTTTCTCCTCTTCAATCCTAAACTTGTATTGACACTTCTATGCATATATTTCTTCTCTAAATACAAGCTGAAACTTATGAAAATGTAAGTTTTACTGCCTTCATGGCCAACAAATTTCCAGAAGCAGAATCAGATAGCAATCATAGATCAAATAGATCTGGAGTATGAACAGGACAGAAAGGATCAGGGACATACAGGGTGGGGATGTTACAGGGATATATGCCAGGGGTGTATATGAGACTATAGGGACAGAGGGACTGGGGAGAGAAAGGCCATCTTTAACAAGTTCAAACTCGGAGAGGTCTGCATAAACCAGGGGTTTTCTATGGATACCAATCATACAACTATTCCCTGTGCCTCGTCTCTGGCCCTACTCTTAGTAACAAGCACAAGGCAACAGTCTAGTTGTTGCAGCAAGCAGAGAAAGACAATTGTTTGTGAAGAGTAGAAGAGAAAGTAAATTATTAGTAATCAAGTAATTTGGTAATGGTTGTTAATGCATAAGGTACAAAAAGTTTTATGTCCTCTGAAGGGGTCAGGGTATGTCACATAAATATGTCACAGAAGTTACCATTCAAATAATAAGCACAAACTGACAGAACTTCAGGAGTATAGCTTATTTGTGGAACATCATTATTTGTGTGGTCTACTCATTCTTAAGCTTAGGTGTTCATAAAAATCAGCTGGGTTAGG